CCGCGTTCCGCGGGCTGCACTGGGTTCTGCAGCGGCTGCCCACGCCGGGGTGTGCTGCTCAGGACCAGTGGAAGTGGCGGAACGTCTGTGTCTCCCTGGTGCACAGCCTGCTCACTGGCACTGGAGCGCTGCTCGGGTGCGGGGTTGGAGGGCTCCAGAGGCGCCGGGGGAGGGAAGGGGGGTGACAGCGGGGCTAGGAGACCAGGAGGGCACCTGTAGAACTGATGCAAAACCTTCAGAGGCTGTGACCGGGCTGGGAGCGTGGATGGATGGGAGGGTATGCCCAGAGGAAGAATGGGTCGGTATCTTGGAGAGGCTGATCATGGTTTATTTCTTCCAGACTGTCGTTGTACCCTCAGATGGCGGCTGACCCGATTCATGGCCACCACCCACCCTGGGCCATGATGCTGGTGGCTCTGTCTGTGGGTGAGTCTGCAGGGGCCAGTGGGGCAACCTTATGACCTTAATTCCGGGCTCCTCCTCCCCCGCAAGGATTACGTGTTTCTGGCGGCTTTACTGAGGGACACTAAAGAACTGGAAAGGGGGGGCCTGGAGATTCCTCTCTAGGCTGGCCCCAGCTCTTTGGAAGCCTAACTCCCCTCCCCCATGCCTACAGGTTATTTTCTGGCGGATGGCGTTGACATGCTGTGGAACCAGACTTTGAACCAGACCTGGGAACTTCTCTGTCACCATTTAGTGGTGAGACTTTGGAGGGGAGAGGCAGGAAAGGAAGGGAGGAAGCATGTCGGGCTCGGGATCCCCAATCCCTCTTCACCCTTTTGTCCTCAGACTTCCCAGACAGACTCTCACCCCAACAGGCACTTGATCCTCCCAATCTTGGGCTGAATTGTTGGGAGGAATTTGACAACTGTTCACACATGGCAATATGGACACTCCCTAAGGAGCTCGGGTCCCCCAAACTGTAATCAGCAGATCACAGAAATGTTGACTATGAAGCTTTCTCAGGAGCGTGAGCAATGGTGTATGATGTGAGGGCCAAGAAGGCCCGGGAATGAGAGTTAGGGGTTCGGGGGTGCTGCATAGGTAAGGTAGCCCCCGGGCAAGGCAGCCCCTGAGCCAAGACTGCTTCTATCCTGTGGAAGAGCTATTTTATGTTGGTCAGGCTCCAGAAATAAGCATAAGCATACAGGTCAGATATTGAGGGGGCTCCACAAAATGCTGAGGTGAGGGTGGTCTGTCATTTTTTTCTTCCTTTTTTTTTTGGAGAGATTTTTGCTAGAGGGCATGTGTGCTCACCAGAAAGACAGAGAGAGACAAAATGGGAGAAATCACCCCCCAAGGGGATGGCCACGCCGCAATCCCTTCTCCTCCATTCCCCTCTCAGGATCTTGGGTGCACACACACATACATACACACACATACACACACACGTGCCTGGCGTGAGTTTAAGCTACTGGGTCCGGGACTCGAACCGTGGTCAACTACATGGGAGTCTAGTGACATAACTATTATGCCATCTGCTGGTCCCTCTTTCTTTCTTTTTTTAGGTTTTTCCCATAGGGTATGTGTGCCCGCCAGAGAGAGACAGAAAAGGAAAGTGAGAAAACAGCCCCCAGGGGGGATGGCCGTGCTGCAATCCCTTCTCTATTCCTCTTTCAATATTTTGGTCATGCATGAACACGTGCTTGGTGTGTTTTTTAAGCCACCCTGTATGGGGCTTGAACTATGTGGTTGGCCATATGGGAGTGCAAACCTTAACCACCATGCCATCTGCTGATCCCCATCTTTTCCTTTTTTAAGATTTTTTTTTTTACAGGGCCAGCAGGTGGCATCGTGGTTGAGGTACCGAGCTCCCACATGGCCAACAGTTTGAGTCCTGGACCTGGCAGCTTGCTTTCTCACTTTCCCTTTCTCTCTCTGTTTCTCTGATGAATACACATACCCTGTAGCAAATGAAAAAATAATGATGGTGATAAAATAAAAATTAAGTAAATAATTATTATTTTAAACTTTTATTTATTTCATTCCATTTGTTGTTATTATTATTTTTTTAATTTGACCAGAGATAGACAGAGAGAAAGAGAGAAAGGGAGAGGGAGAAAGCAAGGCACCAGGTCTGGGACTCAAATCATGGTCAACTATGTGGGAATCCAGCGCCCTTAACCTCCAGGCCACCTGTCGGCCCCTAAATAATTTTTTTTTTTCATTTTTAAAAATTTTATTCATTCACTATATGTCATTACAGCATACAAAATGAGATTTCCTAAATAATTCTTTTTTTAAAAAGATTTTTTTTGTTTTCATTTTTGTTGTTTTGTTTTTTTCAGTTTGCTATGGGCACGTGTACTCTCTAGAGAGACAGAGCGGAAATGAGAAAACACTCTCCTCCCCTAGTGGAGATGGTCACCTGCAATCCCTTTTCCTCCATTCTCCTCTCAGGATTTTGGGCACACATGCTCAAGCCACTGCATATGGGACTTGAACCACTAAATTGGCCATGTGGGATTCAGCTGCCTTAACCACCATGCCACCTGGCTGGCCCCAAGGTTATTTTTCTTTATTTCTAATAGACCATATGTGCATACACAGGAAAGAGAGATAGAGATGAGCACCACCCACAGGGTCTGGTCACATCTCAGTTCCAGGCTTCTAGCCCATTGGATCCGAGACACTCATGTGCATGCCTGGCATATTTCAGGTGACCAGGATGGGGGTTCAAACCGTAGTCCTCATGAAAGACCCCACTTCTCTCGAGCAGCGCATTATTGCTACACCATGGAGTCAGCCCATGGGGCGCCTTTCTTTCTTTCTTCGAATTGCCAGAGGCCCTGTGCACTTGCCACAGGGAAAGTAGAGTATGGTCACATTGCCATCCTTTCTCTTCCATTTCTCCATCCTGTTGGAATTCTGTGCATACATGTTGTCAAGGTGATGGGACTAGAATTTAAACCTTGGCCGACCATGTGGGACTCAGCTGCCTGTGCACAGAGCTTAACTACTACACAATGGGGCCAGCCCTGGGCTTCTTTCTTTTTCTCTTCCCTTCTCTTTCTTTCTTTCTTTCTTTCTTTCTTTCTTTCTTTCTTTCTTTCTTTCTTTCTTTCTTTCTCTCTTTCTTTAATTTGCTACAGGGCACCCACTCTCACCACGGAGAGACAGGTAGGTGGGATGTCAGGGGAGGGGACTGAGAAAGCAAGCCACCAACTAGGTTTGGGACTCAAATGACAGTTGGCCATGTGGGAATCCAGCGCCTTAACCCCCACACCACCTGCTGGCCCCTAGGGTTCCTTTCTTAATGACAGGGATATTGGGACATGATGGGTGGCAGGTCACGGAAGGTCCTCTGACCTCTTGACCCCTGCTCCCAGGTGGTGAGCTGCCTCAGTACTGCTGTTCTATCTGGCCACTACGTGGGCTTCTCCATGGTGTCTCTGCTCCTGGAGCTGAACTCTGCCTGCTTGCACCTGCGGAAATTGCTGCTGCTGTCTCACCAGGCCCCATCCCTGACTTTCAGTGTGACCAGCTGGGCCACCCTGATGACTCTGGCCCTCTTCCGCATGGTACCACTGGGATGGATGATTCTCTGGCTGTTCCGGCAGCACCATCAGGTGCCTCTTGCTCTGGTCATTCTTGGTGCAACTGGGCTGGCCACTGTGGGTGTCATGAGCATTGTACTGGGTGTCCGCATTCTGGTCAGTGATGTCCTGCGATCTCGGCCCCACCGCCCCATCGCTGGACACAGGGAAACCAGAGGGTCCAGGACATATTGTGATGATCGGCCTGTCATCAGGGACAACCCCACTTTCAACTTGAAAGACTAAAGAGAAACTGCAGACTTCTCTTCTGCCAGCCCGGGGGAGGTGGGGCCAGAACAAGGTGATGGTGGTCTTTAATGCCCAGTTCCCTGCTGGGGTAAGGGATAGACTAGATTTCCATATCTCAGATCCTCTTGCAGCTAACTCATAGCCCTCTCTCTCCCAGCATCTAAGAAGACATGCTGGTATTGATGAATGGGTGGGGGACCTGGGTTGCTGATCGCTGAATTCAGCCATCAGATGATCACCACCCTTTCCTACCAATGAACACCAGAGCCAGAGCCAGAGAGAAGCTGGAAGAAACTGCCGATGAGAACTGCCTCAGCACAGGGACAGATGAGGGTGGGTGAGGTCTTCCAAGAATCAGAGAGCTCTGGTATGGAGGGGGTGGAGACAGAGGGACTCACCTCTGACCAGACTGGCTGTGAGAGGTCATAAGAGGTGCTATTTGTAACCCGTAGGATGGCTGTGGTAGTTGCCAAGAGACAAGAACCTGAGCCGCAGCAGGTTCTGCTCATATTTCTGGTTCTCAAAGCCACACTATTGTTTGTATTGAACCCTAGTCTCTCTCTCTCTCTTTTTTTTTTGTAGGATTTTTTTGCCATAGGGCACATGTGCTTGCCAGACAGAGACAGAGAGATGAAACATGAAAAACCACCCCCTGTGGGGTTGGCCATGCCACAGTGCCTTCTCCTCCATTCTCCTCTTGTGGTTTTTGGCCCACATGTGCCTAGCATGTTTTCAGGCCACCGGGTCTGGGACTGGAACCACAGTGGGCCATGTGGGATCCAGCTGCCTTAACCACCTTGCCACGTGCTGGCCTAATCCTAGTCTTAATGTGTCTAGTCTTTTTCATTTGTTAGTATCTTCTAAACTTTTCAAAGAAAATTCTTAGAGGAAGGACCATGGGGCTGGGTCTGACTTTTTAGGGCAGCACTGAAGTCCAGGGCCATAGAAGGAACTAACACAGCCCATGTGGGTGCTCAGTGTAAGGTCCCCCCAGGCTTGGGCTTGCATGGAAGGGTAAGGGCACAGGAGGGCAGGAGGAAGAAGGCTCTCACATGTGCACAGAGGGGTATAGGACTAGCTGGCCGCTTTCTGGGATTCACTCACAATCTCCTTTCTCCCCTGCTTCATTATTTCTCTTGCACCGGACCCTCCCCTTCTCGGTGGAACACCCAGGTCATGGGAAGTGTAAAGAAGAGTAAGGTCGCTATTACAGAAAAGACACATGAGCAAAACAAGACATGAGAAGGTTAAAGACAAATACCCTGCCAAGAAGCCAAGGTCGAGAAAAACAAAGAGGATGACAGAGACAGACATACAGAAGGTCGAAAGACAGATAGAAAGAGGATTCATTGCACAGAGGAGACAGGGGCAGAGAGAGATCGAGAGCTAGAGAGAGAAGCCTTGGCAGAAATATCAAGAAAGGCTGTCAGAGATGCTGAGAGGAACCCAAACCACCAAACTGGTAAGATGATCATAAACAAAGGGGATAAGAAAAAAAAGAAATAAAGACTGACAGGAAAAGACCCCGAGGGTGGAAGGCACGGAGAGTCTAGACAGTGAGACACTGAGGATGAGTGACAGGGAGGAGCAAGCAGACTCAGGAGAGACGGAGGCAATAGTGACAGATTCTCAGAGCAAGAGAAGAAAGGTGGAAAGAGAGTCCAGGGGGGATTTAGTCAGGGGAGCAGAAGACGGAGGAGGCAGTCAATGGAAAGCTTCACTGACAGGAAAGAAAAGGGGAAAGATGAGTTGGAGACAGGCAGAAGGACAAAGGACAAACAGCTATAGTGCAGAACACAAAGACGGGCTGACAGTAACCGATAGGCAGAGACTGGTAGGAAGATGAGAAGCCAGGATCTGGGATGTAAATGGACCAACAGAAGAATCGCAGAGAAAAGGGGGGAGGGGAGAGCAGAACAATTAAATCAATCTCCAAGGGACCGAACAAAGAAAAGGAGGGAACACAGATGAACAGAGAAAAATAGTAACATGGAAAAACAGAGAAAGGACCATGAGAGCTCTGTATCACAGGGCCATAAAATCTGAGGCGCGGCGCGGAAGGCTGACAGAGACAGGAAAACTAACAGTGGGCGTAGACAGAAAATAAGAGCAGAGGGTTTCGACGGACGAAGACGAAGACCCAAGAGGCAAAGGTATAGGAAGTGAGGTAGAGAAAAAGGTGGAATTTTGGCAGAGAGCTTGTCCTTCATAGAAGTAGTGTCTTCGAAAGTGAATCTGCCTTGCCGAACGGAATGTCGTCTGCCTGGAGTTTTCAGAGAAGAAATGTGACGAACCCATGTGTGGAGTCTCTTCCCCAAGCAGGGGTTGCGGTCAATACTCACTCCCGGTCCTACATCTGGTTTTACCACTGTCGTCCGTTCCTGGTTCAGATGAGTAGTCCCCTTCCTTCCTGGTTACACTTGATAGTTTCTATGATGGGTGCCCAAGAGTTTGTTAGGGAAATGTGGGTTAACTAGCACATGTAGACAGGAAGGGGGGTGATAAGCCACCGGTGGGGGCAAGACATAAGAGGACACCTGGGAGAATTTGGGATCACACACGAATTGCCGTCGGGACCCAGAGAAACTTCAGGAAGGGAGGGCTGGGTTGAGTTATAATTAAGTAGGAGCAGAATCTCCTGGAGTACGGAGCAGACAAGATGGTGTAACACAAAGAATGTCATTTGGGTCCATTGTAAAGGGAAGCTCAAAAACTGGGCTGGCAGGTGGCATGGTGGTTAAGGGCGCCAGACTCCCACAAGGTTGACCATGATTTCAGTCCCGGACCTGGCGGCTTGCTTTCTCACTTTCCCTCTCTCTCACTCTCTGGTCAAATAAATAAATGAAGTTTTTTTTTTTTAAAAAAAGGCAGAAGTTGGCCAATGCTACTTTTGATATGTGTCCAGTCACCATGGTGACACTTGGACCTTGCCTTAGCCTGGTGAAGCTGTCCTCAGACTGACTCCATGCCTACCAGGTTACTTGCTGGTGAGTCCTTTGTCTTCCAGCCTAGGGGAGGGGCTTTCCTGGGGGAGGACAGTGATGTTTTATGATCTCAGAACACTGTCCTGATTATAAATTAATAAATTGCTGTGCAAATAACTGCATCAGTTTCTTTTGAGTGTGGTTAACACTGTGTCACTTGACTTGTCTCCAGTGGCATCCTGATTTGAATATGGTGCTGGATTGTGGAGGATTTGCCTTAGGAAGGTTTCTTTCCTTTCTTCCTTTTTAAAGAGAGACTTTTGTGATTGGGCACGTGCACTCACCAGGAACACAGAGAAAGACAGAGGGAAAGTGAGAAATCACCCCCTGGAAGGATAGCCATGCTGCAATCCCTTCTCCTCCATTCTCCTCTAGGGGATTTTGGGCACTTACACACACATGCCTGGCGTTAGTTTCAAGCTGCCTTGTCCGGGAGTCCAACACCTTAACCGCTACAGCTACCTGCTGGCCCTGGGAAGGCTTCTACTTAATACTCTTTTTTTGGAGAGTTTTTTGCTATAGGGCGTATGCACTCACCAGAAAGACACAGAGAGACAGAAAGCGAGAAATCACCCCCCAGGGGGGATGGTCACGCCGCAATCCCTTCTCCTCCACTCTCCTTTCGGGATCTTGGGCATGCACACATGTCTGGCGTGAGTTTAAGCCACTGGGGCCAGGACTCGAACTGTGGTCGACTACATGGGAGTGCAGTGACATAGCCATTATGTTAACTGCTGGTCCCAGTTTCTACCTAATACTCCTTTTTTTTTTTGGAGAGGTTTTTTCGCTACAGGGCGCGTGTGCTCGCCAGACAGACAGAGAGAGACATAGAGACAGAAAGCGAGAAATCACCCCCCAGGGGGGATGGTCACGCCGCAATCCCTTCTCCATTCTCCTCTCGGGATCTTGGGCACGTATGCACACGCGCCCAGCGTGAGTTCTAAGCCACTGACCAGGTCCGGGACGCGAACCGCGGTCGACTACGTGGGAGTCCAGCAACATAGCCATTACACTAACTGCTGGTTCCCCCTAATACTCTTTTTTGACCTACAAAGCCCTGAAGAGTTCTAATATCCTATACTATCAGGGCCAGCAGGTGACATGGTTAAAGTGCTAGACTCCCAATGGCCAACCATGATTCATGTCCTGGACCTGGCAGCTTAAAACTCACTCCAGGCACATGTGCGTGTGTGCCCAAGATCCTGAGAGGAGAATGGAGGAGAAGGGATTGCGGCGTGACCATCCCCCCTGGGGGGTGATTTCTCACTTTCTTTCTCTCTCTGTCTCTGGCAAGCACATGTGCCCTATTAACAAAAATCTCTCTCTCAAAAAAAAAAAAGTAGATTTGTTAGGTTGAAAATTAAGAGTCTAGGGCCAACAGGTGGCATGGTGGTTAAAGGCGCTGGACTCCCAAATGACCAACTGTGGTTCAAGTCCCATACCTGGTGGCTTCCTTTCTCACTTTACCTCTCTCTCTCTCTGTTTCTCTCTGGTCAAGTTAGAAAATAACAATAATAAATAAAGTTAAAATAAGATAATTCTTTTTTTTTTTTTTTTTGCTGTAGGGCATGTGCGCTCGCCAGAAACCAGGTCTTGGACTCAAACCATGGTCAATTACATGGGAGTCCAGCAACATAGCCATTATGCCAACTGCTGGTCCCAAGATAATTCTTTTTAAAGAAAAAAGAAAAAGAAAGAAAATTAAGTCATCAGGGCCAGCAGGTAATGTGGTTAAGGTATTGAACGCTCCAACATAGCCAACCACAGTTCAAGTCCTGGACCTGGTGGCTTGCTTTCTCACTTTCCCTCTCTCTCTCTGTATCTTTCTGGTTAAATTAAAATAGATGAATGAATAAATAAAATTAAATAAGTAATTCTAAAAATAGAAAGAAAATTAAGAGTCCTTATTCCGCAAGGAACTATGGAATGGAAGATACTCTTTAAAAGGAGCTCCTGAAGCAAACAGGTGGCATGGCGTTTGGGGCACTGGACTCCCACATAGCTGACTGCAGTTCAAGTCCCAACCTGGTGACTTGCTTTCTCACTTACTTTCTTTCTCTCCCTCTTTCTTCCTATCTCTCTCTGGTGAGCGGACTGTATAATAATAATAGGGACTAGCAGTTAGCGTAATGGCTATATTGCTGAACTCCCATGTAGCCAACTATAGTTGGAATCCTGGACCCGGTGGCTTAAACTCATGCCGGGCGCGTGTGTGTGCATGCCCAAGATCCCAAGAGGAGAATGGAAGAGAAGGGATTGTGGTGTGGCCATCCCCCCTCGGGGGCGATTTCTCACTTTCTGTGTCTCTCTGTCTTTCTGGCGAGCACATGTGCCCTATAGCAAAAACCTCTCAGGAAAAAAACATCCCAAGAGACTGGAGAAGTGAAGGACAAGGGATTGTAGTGTGACCAAGCCCCACTGAGGAGTGCTTTCTCCTTCTCTCTGTGTCTCTCTCTGGTGAGTGTACATGCCTGCTAGCAAATTAAAAATATAAATAGGCCAGTAGGTGATGTGGTGGTTAAGGGTGCTGAACTCCCACATGGCCCACCATGGTTCAAGTCCTGGACCTGGTGACTTGCTTTCTCACTTTCTCTTTCTCTCTCTAGTGAGCATACATGCCCTATGGCAAATTCTAAAATATTAAAATGATAATAAAGAAAAAATTTAAAATTATATAAATAAAAAATAAAGAGAAGTTTCTTTGTTGAAGTGTTTCTTTAGGAGCCTTTACTTTTTAAAAAATTTGAGAGATTAAGAAAACCAAGCTTCTAATGCCGATTCTTCATGCAATTAAAGAAACTGAAATCTGGGGCAAATTCTTTCTTTCTTTCTTTCTTTTTTTTTTTTTTCTGGAGAGGTTTTTGTTATAGGGTGCATGCACTCGCCAGACAGACAGAGACAGAGAGACAGAAAGCGAGAAATCACCCCCCAGGGAGGATGGCCATGCCGCAATCCCTTTTCCTCCGTTCTCCTCTCAGGATCTTGGGCACGCACGCACACACACCAGCATGAGTTTTAGCCACCAGGTCCGGGACTCAAACCGCGGTCGACTACATGGGAATCCAGCGACATAGCCATTACACTAACTGCTGGTCCCCATGGTGGCTTTCTTTCTCACTTTCTCTCCTTTTCTCTTTCTCGCTCTCTGTCACTCTGTCCCTTTCTGGTCAAATTTATTTATTTTTTTTTTCTGGTCAAATTTAAATAAGTAAAGTTAAATAAAATAATTTTTAAAAATATGCCAGAAGGTGCATGTGCTCATCAGAGAAAGACAGAGACAGAGACAGAGAATGCACCCCACTGGGACAATGACCATGCCACAATCCCTTCTCCATTTCTTCCTCCTTTCAAGATTTTGGGCACACATGCACACATGCCCAGAGTGTTTTTCAAGACCCTTGATCTGGAACTCAAACCATGTAGTCAGCTCTGTGGGATCCAGCTACCTCAACCACTGCCCCTTTGTTTTCCCCTTAAACTTTTGGCTTGCATGTACTGTATCCACACTGACCTTGTTAAGCTGGGAAAATGTGAGAGAGCGTGTGCTCGCTTCGGCAGCACGTACACTAAAATTGGAACAATGCAGAGAAGATTAGCATGGTCCCTGTGCAAGGATGATGTGCAAATTTGTGAAGTATTCCATATTAAAAAAAAAAAAAAAGTAAGAAAGCTTCCCTGAGCACAAAGCCAACACAGATAAAAGAAGACTCAGGCTAAGACCCAGACCTAGCAGCTTGCTTTCTCACTTTCCCTCTCTCTTTCGCTCACTCTGTCCCTCTCTGGTCAAATTAAAATAAATAAACAAATAAATAAATAAATAAAGTTAAATATAAATATAATTAATTCTATAAAAAATGAAAAAATAAAATAAAATAAAATTACAACAAATAGGAACCAGCAGGTGGCATGTTAGTCAAGGATGCTGGACTCCCACATGGCCGACCACAGTTTGAGTCCCAGACCTGGTGGCTTGCTTTCTCACTTTCCATTTCTCTCTCTCCCCCATATCTGGTCAAATTAAAATAAAATAAATAACATTTAAAAATAAATAAAAATTTTAAAAATTTTTAAAAAGGGGGACCAGCAGGTAGTGTGGTTGTTAAGGCACTGAACACTTCCACATGATTGACCATAGTCCCAGTCCTGGACCTGGTTACTTGCTTTCTCTCTCTCTCTCTCTTTATCTGTGTCTCTCTCTCTGGTCAAATTAAAATAAAGGAATAAAGGGATCAGCATTTGGCATAATGGTTATTTCGCTGGACTCCATGTAGTTGACTGCGGTTTGAGTTTTGGATCCAGTGGCTTAAACTCACGCCAGGCGCGTGTGCGTGCATGCCTAAGATCCCAAGAGGAGAATGGAAGAGAAGGAATCGCCTCCCTGGGGGGTGATTTTTCACTTTCTATCTCTCTGCTTCTCTCTGTCTTTTTGGAGAGCTCATGTGCCCTATAGCAAAAACCTCTCCCTCCCAAAACAAAACAAAACAAAACAAAAAAATTTTAAAATATATAAATAAAATTGAAATAAATACTTTAAAATTTTAAAAAAGAAAATCACAACAAATAAATGGATAAATAAGTAAATGTTTTTTTAAAAAGAAAGAAAAAAGAAGACTCAAAATATAGAAATTTTTAGCATCATTTGACTCTCTGGATCAAGCTCCTGAGACATTCAATTACATGATCCAAAAACTGCCCAGATTTGCTTAAGTGAATATGAGTTATCAGTGAGTCCTAATTAATGCATCACCTTCAAGATGATTCAGGTTTTTCATTTTATTTTGCAGGGAATTGAAGCTTAGAGAAATTAAATGACTTATCCAAGCACACTCGGCTAGTTTATAGCACAGCTAGAATTAGAATTCAGGTCTTTGATTTGGATTAGAGTTCCTTCTTCTTTTTTTTCTTTTTAAAATAATTATTGTATTTTAGTTTTTAAATAATTATTTTTGGGACCAGCAGTTGGTGTAATGGCTATGTCGCTGGACTCCCATGTAGTCGACCACAGTTCGAGTCCCGGACCCGGTGGCTTAAACTCATGCCGGGTGCGTGTGCGTGCGTGCCTAAGATCCTGAGAGGAGAATGGAGGAGGAGGGATTGTGGCGTGGCCCTCCCCCCGGGGGGTGATTTCTCGCTTTCTGTCTCTCTGTCTGTCTGGCGAGCGCACGTGCCCCATAGCAAAAACCTCTCCAAAAAAAAAAATATATATATATATATTTTTTTTTAAACTTTATTATTAATTTTAATTTGACCAGAGAGAGACAGAGTGAGAGAGAGAGATAGTGAGAAAGCAAGCCGCCAGGTCCAGGACTCAAACCACAGTTGACCATGTGGGAGTTCAGCACCCTTAACCACCCACGCCACCTGCCAGCCCCAATAATTATTTTATTTAATTTTATTTTGAATTTGAGCAGAGAGGCACTGAGAGAGAGCGAGAGAAAGTGAGAAAGGAAGCCAACAGGTCTGGGACTCAAACTGCAATCAACCACGTGGGAGTCCAGTGTCTTTAACCACCACGCCACCTGCTGGCCCCGGAGTTCCTTCTTATACACTGTTTTGCCTCTTTCTTTTTTCTTTTCTTTTCTCTTTATTTCTTCTTTCTTTATTTCTTTCTTCCTTCCTTCCTTCCTTTCATTTTAATTTTATCAGAGAGAGACAGAGTGAGAAAGAGAGGAATAGTGAGAAAGAAAAGCCACCAGGTCGGAGACTCAAACCACAGTCGGCCATGTGGGAGTCCAGTGCCTTTCACCACCACACCAGCAGCTGGCCCCTTGCCTCCTTATTTATAGAAAGACTGAGGCGTCAGGAAACCAGGTAGAAAGGTGGGAGCCAGTTGACAACTAAAGGTCAATCAAGAAAGATAAATCTTCTATCTAATACTGCTCTGGAGTGGCATTTATAAGCCAGGATGTTTTGGTTTGAAAGCCAGACCTCTGTGCAGTAAGAATTGATTTCTGCACTTTTCAGGAATGCTGTAACAGTGTGGGGCAGAGGTTCATCTCAGCTTTCCTTTTAGACGTGAAAACCACTTAGCTCTGTACTGTGACAAACCTGCGTCTAATCTGCTGGGAGCCCAAGCTTCACACTTCACCTCTTCTACAGGGCCTCGTACAGAAGTGATTCTCAGCTTCAGTAAGCCTTTCTGCAGAGATAAGGATACAAGTCCTGTGAGCTTTGGCAATAGAACGAGAGGTCACTTGTGTAGTATAAAATGAGAATCCCTGGAAAGGGGCCCAGTTTCAGAGGCACAGGTGTTAGCAAACTAAACTGCAGTTTTGAAAGCCATATGGCCAACTGTGGGCTCAGATCTCTGGCTGACCTGAAACAACACCAGGAGTTACCCAAGATCCTGATGAGCTAGATGGCTGGGAGAAAGGTCATGGCATGACCAGACCTTGTTGAAGGTGCCCATGTCTCTTTTCTCTCTCGTGTGTGTGTGCACACACTCTCAGAAATAAAATAAACTAAAAAACAAAATAAAAAGAGGCTGGCAGGTGGTGTGGTGGTCGAGGGTGCTGGACTCCCAAATGGCCAACCACGGTTTGAGTCCTGGACCTGGCGGCTTGCTTTCTCACTTTCTCTCTCTCTCTTTCTCTCTCTGTTACTCTGTCCCTCTCTGGTCAAAATTTTTAAAAAGTAAATAAATATTTTATTTTATTTTACTTATTTATTTATTTTTTTAAAAATTTTTTGAAGAGGTTTTTGCTATAGGGCGCGTGCACTTGCCAGACTGACAGAGAGAGACATAGAGACAGAAAGCGAGAAATCACCCCCCAGGGGGGATGGTCATGCCGCAATCCCTTCTCCTCCATCCTCCTCTCGGGATCCTGGGCATGCATGCACATGTGCCCAGCGTGAGTTTTAAGCCACCGGGTCCGGGACGTGAACCGCGGTCGACTACGTGGGAGTCCAGTGACATAGCCATTACGCTAACTGCTGGTTCCCCCCAGCCCCAGGGTTTTAAAAAACACTCCAGGTGTGTATGTGTACATGCCCAGGGGCCAGACAAGATGGAGAGATGGAGGAGAGGGAATTACTATGCCCCAGTAGGGAGTGATTTCTCTCTTTTTTTAAAGAGAGAAAATAAAATTAAATTAAAGAGAATTAAATTTAAATTATTTCATTTTTTTAGAGAGCTTTTTGCTATAGGGTGTGTGTATTCACCACAAAGACAGAGAGACAGAAAATAAGAAATCACCCCCCGGGAGGATGACCATGCCCCAGTCTTTTCTACTCCGTTCTCCTCTCAGGATTTTGGGCATGTGTGCACACACACCCAGCAGAAGTTTTAAGCTGGTAGGTCCAGGACGAACCACGGTCAACTACATGGGAGTCCAGTGACGCAACCATTACACCATCCGCTGGTCCCAAGAGTTACTTAATTTTATTGATCATTTTTTAAGAAATTTTTTAAAACTTTATTTATTTATTTTTAATTTGACCAGAGAGGGACAGAGTGAGCCCCATCAAGTCCAGGATTCAAATCATGGTCGGCCATGTGGGAGTCCAGCACCCTTAACCATTATGTCACCTTTCAGTCCCATTATTTTTTAATTTGCCATAGGGCAGGTACACTCACCAGAGAGAGAGAGAGAGAGAGAGAGAGAGAAAATGAGAAAGGAAGTCACCAGGTCCAGGATTTGAACTGCGATCAGCCATGTGGGAGTCCAACGTCTCAACCACCACACCACTTGCTGTCCCCATCTCTCTTATCTTTCTCTGTCTTCCCTTCTAGCAAGCATACCCGCTGGCAATGAGGAAATTAAAAGAATCTCTAGGATGTATATACCTATCACCATCGCAATTCAAAAAAGACACTGGAATAATGCCTGACATTCCAGGAATAGTAAATGATTTTGAGGGGTTAAGCTTTGCCCCCTCACCCTGGCCTGCCAGCCTGTGCCCTTGGGAGGACTCTTTAACCTCTTTGACCTTCACTGATTGACTTTGCTGAACCTGGGGACTGAGAGACTTGCAGGGCAACTGTGTCTGCCCAGATCTTAGTGAGGGCATGGCTGGAGGACAGAGAAGACAGCAGAACCGGGGTGTCACGAGTTCTTGCTACTGCACTGATCCAGACCAGCGGGGCCTCCTAGCCCTTCACCTGCTTCCCTCAGCAGCTTGTCCAAACATCGTTTTCTTCAAGCTCCCGCCCCTCCTACCCCAACCCCAATTCTTTGTAGAATCCAGGCATTTCCACCCTGACAGTAAACAGGATTGGAGCGCTGGGGAGGCGGAGGGGAGGGGGAAACAGGGACAGTCTAGGGCAGCTGCAGCAGCGTTTCCTTGACATATACTGAATCTTAAAAACTCATATGAATTATGCATTCTACTTCAAAATCTATCCCTGTCTGTCTTCATATAAAATATCACCTGAAATAACTTAGAAGTTACAATACTTGATTTTTAAAAATGTTACAAAATGTCAAGTGAAACTGTCAATTTTATGATCTACGGGAGATGAACCATTTTATTCTGTGACTCCAAGTATCATTGGTATACTTTCCTTTTTTTTTTTCTTTTAGTTTTATTATAGGGTGCATGTACTTGCCAGAGGGAGGGGGAGAGAGAGAAAGCACTCCTCAGGGAACATGGCCATGCCCCAGTCCCTTCTCCTCCATTCTCCTCTCAGGATTTTGGGCATGTAGCATA